ACGACATGTGACAGCAATGCTGCAATGTGACCAGAAGAAGTACATGGAAATCATTTCCCGTCCAATCGTAATTCCCAAAGGTAAATTTTCAATAACAATTAATAATCGAACATGTTTGGAAGACACGCATGAGAACTTCAACCTAGAACTAGAACTACCCATCATCGACATTCCTGAACTTCTAGAGAATACCACAACTGTAAGACTAAAAGCAGTCGGTCACGAAGCTCTTCAAACAGCGATTAAAGAAGCAGGCAAATTAAAGACTGACCCATTAAAAGTGCTAGATTCTAAAACCAATAATGTGTCAACCTATATTATAATCATAGTATTAAGTTCTATTTGCATAACCGTTATTATATAGTAAAACTAAAACTGAGGTGCAGATTGAATTGCCCAACATTATTAATCAATCCCAATTTGGAACCACTTAAGGAGGGAGGAGTTATATTGTAAGACCCTATGTAATCTTTATACTAATAATTCTCCTTTCCTATGATAATTATGAGCGTACGCCTATGTCAAAACATATAATAATGTAAATTTGCTTAATCAGCGGTACTGCACTGGTAGTACCACCATTCCGCCTACGTAAATGCTGCATCAGCAGATATTTCTTATTTAAGCCAGCGCATTCCCTTACGGAGCGTTCATTTGTTTTCAGGCATTCCCTGTAGCAATTTGATCCACATATTTTCGTTTGTCACTATTGTATTTTAATTAATAAAATAAATGTTTTTTTTTTTAAATACAAGTTTCTGAATCGAAAATATAATTCATTCGTAACATTTGTAGTGATAACAAAGAAATTAAATACTTTATTTGTTGACAGATTTATAACATAGTTTTTTAAAATTTATCACCCCATTTTAATTTATCCAAATTTTGAAGAAACCTTTGTCTTGACGACCGATGCTAGCGCATTTGCTATTTATTAGAGCTGTTCTATCCCAGGGCCCCATAGGAAAAAATCTCCTCATCGCTTACGCCTCTAGGACTCTCTGCAATGCCGAAACAAAATATTCAACCATAGAAAGAGAGCAATAGTTTGGTATGTGAAACACTTACGCCCATATCTCTACGGTGGAAATTTGTTCTAGTCACTGACCACCGCCCTTTAATATGGCTTCTTTCAATCAAGGATCCTGTTAGTCGATTGGCCCGTTGGCGACTAAAACTTGAAGAATACGACTACAAAATCGAATACAAACCCGGAAACGTAAATAAAAACGCAGATGCCCTTTCAAGAGTTAAAGTCAACTGCATCAAAGAATGCGCAAATCTTCAATCAAAAATCTCTATCCTTGCATCCAATAATGACGAAATTCATGATAGACCTTCAACTAGCAAAGAAAGACCCTCTTCTCATGACGAAAATACTCCTTCATACGATGGAAACGAAACTCAAGATGAAATAATTACTAGAGAATTCAATACTTTTTTCGATTTATACAAAACTCAATCAATTATTGATTACTCTAAATTTGAAACTTCTCATTCACAACTCTTAGACAAATCCCATAAGAACAAAATAACTTTCTTTTGGCAAACAAAAATCGAAGATCTTCATTTCAAAGTTATCGGCGATATTCTAGAAAAAAAATTGAATTTCAACCCAGCTCAATCAACGGTCTCTCAAGTAAAAGCACAAGAGGACGGAAATACTTCATTATTCCTTTACCATACGATAAGGATACATTTGTCCGACACCAGTTTTTCATTCTGTTTATTTCTCTAGACAAATTCGAGCCTCTAAAAATATACTGTGTTGAAAATAACTTACAGTTACCTATCCTTGAAAACTTTTCTTTCATTTTCGCTGACAAAGAGATTAAACTAATAATCTGTCAGAATATTGTTAAAATAAGATAAAGACCAAATTCCTATTATACTCGATCACCACACAGGAAAATCAACCTACATCGTGGAATAAATGAAACAATCAAGCGAATAAGAGAAAAATATTACTGGCCAGGAATAACTAAAAACGTAGAAAATCTCATAAAAAGTTGTGAGACTTGCCAAAAAGTAAAAATTTGCCGTAAAAATCTTAGCACTCCTTTAGTTTTGTCCTATGCTGTAATTTGCTACAATACAACTAACAACAAGACTCATGGCTTTACGCCATACGAACTTATTTTTAATCAATTCGATGGTCCATCACCGAAATATTTGGAACTTCGGCTAAAGTTAAAAACTTTACTACTAATCAGAGTTCAAAAATAAATTTCGATAGATTAAAACCCTACTACGACTAGTCTTACTCTCTTTCAGACTTCTCGTGCTGATCCCAGTGGCCATAGCACAATTCCATCTAACACCATAAGTCAATAACATTATACGAATATTTTTCCACGTAGAAAGCACTATTAGAAAATCCAACGATAAATGGACTCTACTCGTCTATAAAGAACTAGATCCCTTAAAACAACCCATTAGAAATAATGAAAAACTGCTTTCAGTCTTCTTTGATCTAACTGAAGAATCATCCCCAAGGATGACTGCTTTCAAAACCAGTGTACAAACCCATTTCAGTCGCTTATCCCGTATTGCTGAATCCGTAAACGTGAAATTCCTAGAAATCACTTCCGAAACAAAAAAAACTACGTGGTTTAGTAAACAGAATAGGTAGCATTTCTTAATCGATAACTGGCAATTTAGATTCTTCAGATGGCGAATATCTCAATGCATGCATAAATAAAGTAAACTACTCAACGTTCGTTCCAAGCATAAATTTGGCCAATTTTCGAGACGCGACAACTACTCAATAAATTAACGGAATAATATGCCGTTTTCACTACTTTTGGACGCGATTCCTTGTTAATCATCTGGTTTACACAAAAATATAGAATTTGAGTGTTTTTTTTTTATACAGGGTGATATAAGAAGTGCGGTAAATATTCAAAATTTTTGTTGCCACCCCATTTCTACAAGTATTGTCACTTATTTTTCCTAGGCATACCCGAATGATTATTAAGGCCGCAATAGCCCCCCTTCAAATTAGATTTTAGTTCTAAAAAAAAATATAGATGGCGGCGCCAAGATTAGTATTTTAAATATTATAGCGATTTCAATTTGCAGAATCAGTGCAACTTTTCTCACTCAGTTCGCACTGATTGCCGAATGGAAATTGCCATTATTATTTTTCCTGGCCAACCACAATGCTCAGAGTTGACCTTGACATACTTATTTTTTCCTATTTTATTCTATCAGAAAAGAATTGGGACTTAGATATAGGTTTATAGAACAGGTTTTTGTTTATGAAGAAATTGCCTTGTTTTGATTTCGGAATCTTTTTACTGAGTACCTAATTTTTTGACTATTTGGGAAGAAATAATGAAAAACATAATATAGTTTATTATTATTGAAAAAAAAAAAACAGTCTATGCTTACGATTTTTCAGAAAAAAAAATCAATTCTGTGATCGTTTTGTCAAATTTTCATTTTTTTTTTGTATTTTGATGGGTTTTTGCAACGCTGCAAATCAGGAAAATATGTAGCAATTGAACACGAACCCGATCTGCTGCTGAAATCTGCTCGGAACAAGAAAAGCGATACAAATGAACACCAAATGTAATTCAGGAATGATCACGCCATATGATCGACAATAAATATTTCAAACCCAACGAATAAACATGAAATCAAAAATTCATCGGCATTTATTTATCATCGTTTTTCCGCTCTAAATTGCGTATTACGACCTATGTCTGTCTTTGTTTATTTTTTAGTATTAGACAAAGAAAACCTATCACTCGTTTGATTGGACCGTCGTTAGAACTTTGGACTTTGGCGATTATATAAACACAGATAATAAAATTGTAATGGGGTCTTTCACTAAAATTTGAATACGTAATTTGAGTATAAAATCCCAAAGGAGGGGCTATTTTAGGCATATATACCAAAAAAAAAAGTTCTACAAGGTTAAATAAGTTTTTTACAGGCATTTCAAATTGGCTAAATTCAAATTAAATTAAAACGCGCCGATTTGCTGACGTCACATAAATATTTTTCATTTCGCTTCTTGTTACAAAGGAGCTTACCGCCTCGGCTGTGTACCCTGTAGTAAAAGCAGGTAAAGGTTCGAATGCGCTGTTGTCGGTGGTGACTAGATGTAGTGCAACGTAAAAAAATAAAATAAAACTAAACATAAAAAATTGTATTAAATTGTGTTTAAACATAATTTCAATAAAAAAGTTATAAAATCTTGAATCCATAAGTGATTAATTTAACTACTTTTCATGATATTTTGCGAACATTTCAGAATTAAATCTATTACAAATTTTCAATGTCGACAATTAGTGGCAACACGGTCAAAATGCTTGCTGCGACGTCATAGAAATAAATTCTGGGTTTTTATTTGGAGGTAATTCTTTTTTTTCTGTTTTCTCAAGAAGGACTATGAATTTTTCAAAAGTAAAAATACAGAAAATTCTGTCTTTAGTTGCTTTATCCAAATATGCCAATTTCAAAAATTAGTGAAAGAGCCCATTGGAAAATTATTTTGAATTGGTTTGCGGGGTAATTTTTTTTGCGGCAAAAAATGCAATGTTTACATCCTTGATGTTCACTCACAAGCTGCAAGCAATTTTTACCGGATTATTTTTTATATTTTGTAATTTTCTTTTGTGAAATACTGGGACAATAATTATTGAAAGAAAATTACTATACTCCTAGACAAAATTATCGCACTACTGCACATAAGCATAACATAAGCAGTGGTGCGATAATTTTGTCCTGGACCCGTATTCTTGATTTGAATAGAAAACCATACTCTCTCTGTTTTTCTACTCCCTTGTTTTTCTACTGGTTTCAAATTTCATTATTCTCGAACGGACTCGATAGAAAAGGAAAAGGAAATCAAGCCACAAGGTTGCCAAACGTCAGTAGAACTTTTGAACCAATCAAAAATGAAGATTGAATTTTGAATTTGACAGTCAACTAACCGATCCAGCGCACATAAGCTCATTTTTGTGTTTGTTATTGTTTTGAATTAATAAAAGTTGTGGCTGGGACGTTTTTTGGGCGCAAAGAATAAAAATGAGCAAGAAACACATCACCGCGGAGCAAAAAAGCAACTTGGTGGATTTTCTGAAAGACCATCCGCAAATGTACAGGGGCAAATTTACGCCTACTTATACACATGCCCACTCCAAAGCATTATGGACTGAATTGGGAAATGAGTTAAATGCCCTTCCCAATGGGGCCAATAAAGATTGGATACACTGGAGAAAAGTAAGTATTATTATCATGTCTATGTAAACCAATAATAACACAATTTCACTTCAAAATCAAAGTACTAGGTATGGGTTTTTCTTGACCTTTTTAGAAATGAGTTGGAAATTAAGGACCCAGCTCAAACCTTATAGAAAAGTGATCTATGTGGCTATTTCCTGAGTTTTTTATATTGTTTAGAGGAAGTTTTCCTGATAAAAAGTTACTATTGTGCTTAAAATCCAATAATCAATAGTTTCTCAATAATCAATCAATGATACTGGATAATTAAATAATATGCCTCGTATTCGAACTCAGGTGTCAGGTAGGTATGTTATGGCTTACTTTTTTTACATTGAATAACTAGTAAAGCACACTGGTATATTTTATCATTTAAAAGAGACTCACGGAGAAAACCAAAATGCGACACTCTATCTACCTAACACAAATGAAAGAATTATTTTCCAGTATCATTGGCAAATATCTCTGAAACTATTGTTTATTGGACTCTAGCGCAATGCTAAATTTCAATCAGGAAAACTTCCTCTCAACAATACAAAAAATTCAGAGAATTCCCACATAGATCACTTTTCCATAGGGTAGAAGTAGTTCCAGTGGATAATATTTTTGTTAACTCTTGTAGACATGGGTCGATATGAAAAAAAATTCTAAAGCAAGATTGGCCAAAAAAAGAATATATCAATCTGGCACTGGGGGTGGTCCACCCTTTAAGGACGAACAACAAACTGATGATGACAAAATAGTGGAATTAATTACTCCAGTCTGCATTACTGGAAATGAAGATGTTCCAGACACGTTCATAGTACTGGATGAAGACTATGATGAGATGCCTTACAGTGTAAGTTGTGTGTATCTGCTTAGGGAAAAGGAATATTAGATTTAAGTTTGACATGTTTTATGGTGCATATTATATATTACATAGGTATATTTATTGAATCTATTCAAAAACAAATATTTTAATAAATTCATCATAAAAAATTTTAAGCACATAAACACTTGTGTGCACGATTTTGATAAAAAATTACTGAGTCAAAGGACACTACTGACTTTTTTTTTTATTAAAAATTATAAAAATTCCTAATACCTATGCCAAGATATTTTAAGTATTCTAGATACAAAATTCCCAACGTTTTTGATTTACTAACAGATCAAAAATTTCAGCTGGATCATGGAATGGAGACAGATGTAGAAACTGAAGTAAAATTACAATCTGATGATGTGACAGCTGTTGAGCCTGAACTTTTGGTTGGTGTTGCTCAGGCGAAAACTTCATCTATACCAACCACTCCCAGTACTGTTCAGACTAGAGCTGCAGCAGGTCCAAGTACCTCTGGTTCTGGAAAAAGGACCAACAAAACAATGCGGCTGACAGAATCCATTAAAAACAATAAAAGATTCCTACAGGTCACTGAGGAGGGAATGAAACAGACAAACAATTATCAGGAAGAGAAGCTGAAATTATTGAAATCCTACTATGAACAAAAAATTAATATTGAAAATAAAAAGGTCAAAGTTTTAGGAGATATTTCAAACGGCATTGATAATATCTCGAAATACATAAATGAATTAATTTGAAATAAAAACCTAAATCTCTCTGTTTTGAACATTTTTTAATAGGTATGTAGGACATACTGTGTAGTGGAGCATTTTTTGTGCTTTTTGATGAGATTCTGATGTTACCCCTTAGGATTAAGTTGTTTTGTACTTGTTTATAACTTCCATTTCAAATGATTCACTTAGGGCCAAATTATGGACTGACTGGTAAACGTCTGGTTGTTACCTAGCAGGTACTCTCTATGCACTAGAGAATAGAAAATACCTGCTAGGTAACAACCAGACATTTACCAGTTGGTCCATAATTTGGCCCTTGGGGCCGGTTTCTTAATAGTAAGTCACCCCCAGGTTAAACTGCAACTGGACACGCTTACCCTAGAGTTAAAACTAACCCGGAGATGAGTTGCTATTGAGAAACCAGCCCTTATTTATCTTGTTATTTTTCATAGAAATTATATTGTAGAATTAGCCCCTGATAATTTGATTTACCTGGAAATACTTATGGAAATATGAAATATGCTTTTAGTTTTTAAGTTTTTATTAGGTAAAAGTTCCTGTATAATTATCCAAGTTTTGCCAGATTTAATTTTAATTAATCAATAAAACAATTGGAAAAAAAATGTTTTTCATTACTTTCAGAGAAAGTTAAATTATTATTGATAAACTTCACAAACACAAATAACAATCATATTATCTATTAAAATGATTTAATACAATATTTTCCTGTAACTGTCTTGCAGCAGCCAGATCAGGATTTCCAGCCACTCTTCTTTGATGTATGTTTTCTACAGCATACATGCCATAGTCTGGCTCTTCTGGATGTGGCTCATCTGGTTCAGGCATTTCATTATCAATGCACATGTTGTGCAATACACAACAAGCATTGACAATTTTTCCTGCTACTGTAGGACTATAATGTAGGGTCCTGTACCTTAATAGGCATCTAAACCTGTTTTTCAAGACACCATTACACCTCTCAATGGTAGATCTCACAGAGCAAAGTCTTTCATTGAAAAGTTCTTCTCCTGGGTTTCTTGGATTTGGTAGGGGTACAAGTAACCAGGGACGGGTTGGGTAACCTAAAAAAATTATTGATTTATAACTAATGTTGCGTTTGTGAGAAATGAAAGCAATTTCAACAATTATTATGCTAACCTGAATCGCCAAGCAGAAAAAAAACATTTTGAGGATTCCTTCTGTATATTTGTTCCATGTACGTGTTTATAGGAGATTGTGCCCAAATGAAAGAGTCATGTGTAGATCCAGGGAACCTTGAATTAACATTCATAATCTTGAGACGGAAATCGCATATCTAAAATAAAGTGGACACTAGGTAACAAGCCCTTAGACAAACCAATCAAACAGTTTAATTGTCATAATTGATATGAATAGGTAGGTATAATACGTGGGTACTTACTAGCTGAACATTCAATGAATGATAATTTTTTCTGTTGACATAAATGTGTTCCGGGTACCTAGCATCATTATTTTTTGGTGACACAATTGCCACATGTGTGCAGTCAATGATTCCTAAGATCCCAGGGAATTGATGAAGTTCATAAAACCTTAAAATAAAAATCAGATGTGACACCGACATAGGTAGTAGAAGAGAAATCTAAGAACTTGTCAGTCACATACACCAACTCCTAGATACTCACACTCACTATAATAATTATACCTTCTACGGAGAGCTTGCTGTTCTTCTGCCGTTCGGGGAAAGCGTATTCTGTTACTGAGAATTTCGGGTTGATTTAAAGCATCAGTTACCTCTTTTATTGATCTGCTTGTGGATGATTGGCTTATACCCACAAAATGGTTTGATCCGGTGATTTCTTGGTGACTACCACTCGCATAAAATCTTAGTGTTGCTAAGACCTGAAAATAATTAAACAGAAAATTACTTTAAGCCATTTTGTACTTTTGCTCTTTGGAAGGATCAAAATTAGGTAGGTACTTACCTAAACCGCTACGTCGTATGCTTACCTTTGTCATTATAGAGAGAGCAGAAATTCGCGTTGGTGGTTGCATAAATGGAGTCACCATGTCCACCAACTCATAAACTGAATCTTTCGATAATCTAAACATTTGTACAAATTTACGGTCGGAAATTCTAAAAGGATCTGTCTTCCTGAGGACATCCCTGCCAATCTGCCAGTTCTCTATAGCCTCCTCCACATCCTCGTTCATTATATCATTCCAGTTAATTAACTGCTTAATATTATTCATAATTTAATAGGATCAATTTAATTTATCACGAAATAAATAAACTTTAGGCTAGCGGCACTTCAATTTATAGGTAACGTCGCTGGATTTCTACTAATTTATCGAATTTCTCTTAGTCAATACCAATAGAATTCATTTCTCCTCAAAGTGAATTTATTTCGATCTGTTTTCAATAGAATTTATTCCAGAATACAGCTTTTCTTGGCCACGCCTACTTTTTGACACTTTCTCTCACAATTTCTACTCCCCAGAACTCAAGAATACGAGGCCTGGGCCTTATTCTGTATTTATTTTTTGTAGACCGAATCTCTCGGTTGGGTACACTATCGAACGGCGCAGTAATCGAACATTCGGTTCGATAGCGTACTTTGCAATTCAGTATGGCTATTCGGTAACCATTTCGTTCGGTTTGATAGGAATCGAAGGGCAACCGGAAAAATTTCCGAACGCCATGCAATGTTGTCGGATTGCTATGCTCCCGACCAATCAGAGTGCGTGTATTCGTGCTTGACAGTTGACAAAATGATAGCTGTCAGGCTATTTTTTGATTTTGGTTGACAGTTAAATGAAAGTTTGTGTTGTTTACATTTTTCAATTTTGTTCTACTTTTGGCCGGTTCCGCCAGTAATGCGAATACACCAAGCGTCACGGCTATAGCCAAAGCTGGAGAGAAGAGCTTGCTACTCTTGGCTATATACACACGCATCTGCTGCTACACAAGATGGATTGTTTTAGTAGAGCAAAAACGTTCGGAGGTACGCTACAATACTCCCCCAATCGGATCTCCGAGGGTTTCTGCTCAACGGCTCAAAAAAAAAAAAAATCGTTAAACTTTGCAGCATGGAACATTCGTACTCCGACTCTGCAAAATACTAACACTTCAAAACACGCAGAGAGAAGAACGGCCACAATTAGCCAAAAAACTAAATCGTAAATATTGACATTGCTGCGATGAGGGTAACAAAATTCCTGGATGAAAACACTGAAAACAGTCCTACTTCTACTCGAGGATTTTCACTGGAAGAGGAATCCCCGAGGAGCCTCATGTTAATCCTGTTATTACTCGTCTTATCTGTTCCCTTCTGTGCCTAAAAATATAAAATGTATATTGAAAAAAAACTGATTAAACATTAACACGCGTCACCATAACGTCAAAAACCTTTACCGAAATTCAAATCGAAACCCACAGTGCTATCGGTCAGCGAATCGAGGCTTCGATTGAGTTACCGATCGGTTTGATGCTACGGAATAGCTTCCACGCTACCAAACCGAAAATGACGTCACAATCGAAGGAATTCTACCGAATCGAACGGTTCGTTCTTTACAGAATAGGCTTCCAGGAGTCCTAAAAAAATAGTAGAGCGCGGCAAAAGGTATAAAGTGAAAGATTTTTTTTTTTTTAAGTAAATTATTATACTTATTTATTTCCACTAATTTTTTGTTAAACTTTAACATGTTTCGCTACACTGTAGCTTCATCAGAAAGATGTAGACATAAAAGTGAAATCACAGAACATATCACCTCTAGAAAAGTATCTGCAATGTTATGTACCGGTTATGAATTACAGCGCCATCGTTGAATGAAAACCCAACTAATCGAACATTCTTGACAAAAAGGCGAATTGATTTTTTTCATATATTTTTATTATTTTTAAATAATTTTTAATCTTCAACTGCATTTGGCTTGCTGACTCCTTTTAGCTCTTTTCGCCTCATTTTTTTGAAAACTATATGACTGGCAGGAAGTTTCCGATGTCGATCATAGTGCAAAAAGAGTTAGTAAGTTAGCAAGAGACACGCAGCTATAGGTAGATCGCAAAGTAAATACGAATAATAAATACAAATACGAACGAAACAAAACAAACGAGTGAATACAAAAAAATACGAACAAAAATAAGGGTTTTTTTCAACCAAAACTTTTTGAATTTTCACTTTAACGCGCGTGGGGACTATGGTTTACAACACAATTTAAAAATTCAAATTTTGACTTTTAAAATGACAAAATAAATGACAAAACCAACCAACACAAATCACTGTCCACACCACAGATACCTGTAAATTTCTCTTATCTCCCGACAGTGTCGCCATCGTTGAATGAAAACCTAACTAAAAACCTTCGTCGCGATTCTCCCATTTGAGATATTTTTCTATAGGTGATATGTTCTGTGAGTGAAATTGTCAAATATAAATAAGGTAAAAGCTGGTCTAATTTTACGTTAATCTAAAAAGGTATTATACAATAAATAAATTTAAAAGTGGTGAATTGTTTAAATCTAATTGGTCATTCAGTAAACAGTCTAAATTTTTAAGTTTGTTTATTTCTAGAGATTCTAGAAGATTTAATTTTAACCCTTTGTTTTCATTATGTAAAATTTGAAATTCATTATTAAAATTATGATTACATTCTATTAGATGATTTGCATAATTTGAGTCTGTTTTCTTTTTATTGAAACTTTTATAATGTTCTTTAATTCTAGTACCAAAATTTCTACCTGTTTGTCCTATATATACTTTGGGACAATCTTTACAAGATAATTTATAAACTCCAGATTTATCACATATTTTAGTTTTAGATTTATTATTTTTCAAATGAATGCCTAATGTATTGTTAGTTTTGAAAGCAACATTTATATCGTTTTTGTTAAGAAATTTGCTAATTTTATTACTAGCTTGTCCTTGGAAAGTAATAGTTTTAAAATTATTCTTATTTTGTAATTTTTTAGGGTATACTAAATTAATGGCATTTTTGTATAGCTTTTGTTTACAATATCATCGATTAATTTTGAGGAATAGCCATTA